TTGTTAAATGGGAATAAACATACAGTTGACTTTCTTTATTTTATTCCTCCGCTTTGTTCTTTTGCTCTTCTTATTGAAATTTTAATACTGTGACGGACGAAAAGCATTCATTTGTAAAAAGTCAATTTTCTTCGTCCGTCACACTGTAATAATTTCGATAGAAAGAGACAAGAATAAAAAGACGAAAGTTCAGTCGTATGTTTATTCTCATTTAACAACAAAATTTTCAACTCTGAAGAGTGTATTATGTTCGAATCCTGAGTTATAATACATATAGCTATATGTTTACGTTCACACTTATGTAACATCAGTACAGGGTGGTAAATAATATTATTCAAGGGGGGTACCGCTATAATTTCTAATTGAAAACATGATGTGTTTTATACCAAATGAAAGCCCGTGAAAAATGGGATCTGGGAGTATAACTGGCTATTCATAAGATTAGAATAGGCTATAGAAATATGGAACGTTTCAGATTTTGCTAGTGTAATTGTACCGTTTTGCTGATAGTTAGCCTAAAGTCATAAAGCTCTCGCAAAATATTTTTGTCTCTTGAACTTTGTAGAGCTCTTTGCGCTGATCATTTTGGTAAAAAAGTTTTCTAAATTTCATTGATAAATAATTATCCTAGAATCAAAGTACTAATAACTTCGTACTGTTTTGATTAACGCACTTAATATATGTATAGGTATTTTGACCCTAGGACCATTATTTATCAATGAAATTTAGAACTTTTTTTTACCAAAATGATCAGCGCAAAGAGCTCTACAAAGTTCAAGAGACAAAAATATTTTGCGAGAGCTTTATGATTTTAGGCTAATTATCAGCAAAACGGTACAATTACACTAGTAAAATCTGAAACGTTCCATATTTCTATAGCCTATTCTAATCTTATGAATAGCCAGTTATACTCCTAGATCCCATTTTTCACGGGCTTTCATTTGGTATAAAACACATCATGTTTTCAATTAGAAATTATAGCGGTACCCCCCTTGAATAATATTATTTACCACCCTGTATATTACATCAGGATTAATATTAATAGGTAAATTTCATATACCTAAGACGGGTTGAAAATTCTTGAGAGGCTTTGCCCCACCTAGCGATAAATCCTGGCTCCGCCACTGGAAGCGAGTAATCAAGAAAAGCTCATAATACATTCATATGTGTTCATCGGATCTTTCTGAGTTAAATTATACTTGAAAAGAGTATTTTTGAGTTGATTTAGCTGAAAATATTTGCATAAAAAAGCCTCATGATACATTTTGTCGTATAATTTGAATATTTCTTGAACGATTAAAGCTGGCGGGTTGAAATTTGTATCGTTAATATAACTTTTTGTACTCTATTCAACTTGAAAGTTTGAATGAAATCAAAACAACCGTTCATGAGTAAATGACCGAACAGTTTTCAAAATATCACTAAGACGTGAGTGAATATATTATTTTTCGGGTACTCAGATCAATTTTTCTCTAATATAGAAATAAGAAAAAGTAAACATTTTTATATCAAGAAGTCATTTAAAAATTTCTCTTTTATTTGGTATATGGGTTTTCTATTCAAGTCTTTTCTTGCCTTCAAGAACAGTAGTTTTGTGTCACTGTACACAAAAAAGAGAAAGTGTCTATCATCGAATAGAGTGATATTCAAGTTACGAAATGACGCAATCTCTCCCTGGTGGTATAACAGTGCAGTAGTATATTGCTATAAAAAATTATAGAGAACCATATTTGTCATTCATTTTATAAACATTCGATCGTGTATATGAAAATAGTAGAATGCTCTTTCGTATTTTATAGCTATTCGATGTCGGTTGTTTAGACCTTTCAGTGTTGATGTTTTGATACTCCTTCAGTGTTCATCAGCATCTCAGTTCAGAATGGAACTAATTCTCTCTTGAATGTGATATTCATAGAAGAGAAATAATATGAAGAAAGAATGTCTGCATGTTAAGAATCTGTTTTATTTCGAAATTGATGTTGAAAATCAATAGATGAAATAATAAAGGATACTGCCGTTTTTGAAAAAAAATATCCAAATTCAATGAAATTTGGGTTGTTAGCAGAAGTAAGTGAGATACATTCACCGTAAAATATTCAGCTTGATATGCCTCATTGAAGAGAAGTGACAGCAAAAACGTGTCTGTATGAAATTGATGCAAAAATAGGACAAATTTTGTTTTTGTATGTTGAAATTTTTCTCTCAAATATTTTTCCTAACACTTTCAACATCACATTGAAAGGTCCAGAATTTTGTGTAGAATATTGTAGCATATTTTTAATTTTAGAAGATCCGTTTTTAAAAATTCTTTATAATTTTTTTGCTTTATTAATTTTCACATTTGTACGATGAAGTACATTTTAATCTCGCTAACTTTTCTATGACGCAAAAAATCTATTCAAAAAACAGAGTCGACTGTTTTATAAAAAATTAAATTCTTTATTTACTAGCTGAAAACCGAAATTTAAAATAATTGTTAAATGTTTCAAAGATAGAGAATAAAATTGAGATGTTTACTATGGAACATCCTTTATTTTTCTATCTTAGGGAACAATTTTACGATCTTCTAAAAAAATCTTTAATTCAATTTTACAGTGAGGAAAATTTTTCAATTTAGCGGCTGTTAATTGCTCTCCCATCACTCTTTCGTCCTTCTTTTTATTCACAATCCAAATATCCAAGACAAATATTAAGCGCACACAAAAACAAAAAAAAACATCCATCGAAAACAAACACGTTGTATTTATCTCTTCGAAATATTCTTTTCCCTCTCATGTTATTATATGCTGATGATGTTTTTTTTCTCTTAGAGAGAAATAAGTCGAAGAGACAATGGATGAAAAGAAAAGAAAATAATTTCAAATAGCGTAACAAAAGATAAAACAGAACAATACCGAGCATGTATTATGGCTATTGGTCATGACAGTAGCAGATTCTGCACCTTTGGTTGTAAGCTACCGATAATGAGTATGAGATTGGAAAAACGAAATCCTAATCATTTTTACTGAAACAATGTGAATTGCCCAAACTGGGATAATTCGGATTACTTTGATAGGGTATTCAACGTATTTGTAAAACTCATTGACAATATCGATTTTTTTGAAAGACTTTTAGATGATTCGATAGAGAACACTTGAGGCTATTGGTGAATTAAAAAAATGTCTTCCTTTCTGATGCAAAATGACTGAAAAATAATCAAAACACCCTCATTTTTCTTTCAAATGATCCAGG